AAACCCTGGCTGAGTAACTGCTGAATCTGATCCCTCAGCTCTCTCATCTCTACCGGTGCCATCCTATAGGGTGCCCTAGCAATAGGCGCAGTGCCTGGAGCTAAGTCTATCACAAAATCAATCTCTCGACTAGGTGGCAACCCTGGAATCTCCTGAATTACATCCGGGAAATCCTGTATAATCGGTATGTTATCCAATGGCACAGTAATCCCCTCCTCATTTTCCTCCTCCACATGGAACAAATAGGTGCTACCGCCCCCTTTAGAATGTGGCATAGCTACTACATACACATCCTGACCAGGTATAGTAAAAATAATAGACCTATCAAAACAAACAACTTGGGCATGGTAGTGAGACAACCAATCCATCCCAAGTATCACATCATAAGTGTGCATGTCCAAGACCAATAGATTGGCTAGAAATCTGAGTCTGCCAATATCTAGTGTCACAGGCCCATCACTCTCATGTATAATAGCTGTATCACCCAATGGTGTAGAAATACCCAGAGGTCTAGTGCATACCCTCGTCCTCATCCCAGATAAAGCAACAAAAGTCCTAGCTACAAATGAGTGTGTAGCACCTGTATCAAATAAAACACGTCCATGTAAACCATGAATAGGAAACTTACCCTCCATAGTCTGAGGTGCCTGAACATCCTGTGGCATGGGGTTATACACCCTGCCATAGTGCAACTGCGGTGGTGCCTGTCCCTGAGTCTGCGGCGGTGCCGGTAAAGCCAGATGTGTCTGTCCCTGAATTCGTGGAACCTGTGGAACTGGTAGAGGCACTGGCGCCCTTTGTCCCCGCTGCATATACTGTCTCTATCCCTGTCCCTGTCCTACTTTAGGACACTACCGGGTGGTATGACCATACTCTCCACAAGTGTAACAATTACCCTGGAAAGTACCAAATGGCCTCCTCTGTCGGTTAGCCTGTGCCTGACCCTGTCCTACCTGTGGTCCCCCATTCTGTTGCCTCTGAATAGGTGCCCCATTCCGGTGAGCATCTGAACCACTCTTGTGCTTCTTCCAAGGCTGTTGTCCCTGGAACTTGCCTTTGTCATTCTGCCGGTGACCATTGCCATTCCTCTTTTCAGCTGACTGGTTAGTAGAGTCTTTATCACCCCGCTTCTCACCAAGAGCCTGTCTGATGTCCACAGTCAACTGATACTGTTGTAGAGCGGCGTCTACCACCTGAGCGTAGGTAGTATAGGCTGGACTACCTGTAATAGCTCTCTTGATAGACCACATCAGTCCATTGACGAAACTGTTACGCTTTTTCTCATCTGTATCCACCTCCTCCGGTGCAAAGAGAGACAAGCGTGTGAACTGCTGCTCATACTCCGCCACTGTCATGTTTCCCTGTTGCGTATTTAGAAACTCCGTCTTCATAGCTGCCCTGACTGCATAGGGAAAATATTTCTTGTCAAAGCGAGCACCGAACTCATCATAAGACAATGTCATCCTCTCCTCTGGGGTGGTAACTGACTCCCACCACTGTAGTGCATCCCCAACTAGCTTGAAAGTAGCAAGCATCTGCTTCTGAACCTCCGTGCACTGAACCAAACGAAGATGACGCTCAATGTCCTGTTTCCACTGGTGAGCTGCTCTCGCATCGGTGGAGCCTGAAAACACAGGTGGACTCCCATTTGTGAAAGAGCTCCTAGCCTTTCCCCAAGAATCCGTCTGAACCACTGATGCTGGTACAGGTGCCTGCTGAACCTGTGGTTGGTTCCGGAGTGCAGCTGTTACCCCAGCCTCTATAGCCCGAGCAACAAGGTCATTGAGGTGTGGAGGAATCTCTGGATCTCTGACCCGACCCTGAGCTTGTTGAACTTCTTCCTGCTCCTCCTGAAACCCTGGCATTTGCTGCTCTTCTTCCATTTGCCGACGTTGTAGACGTTCATGCTGTCTACGTGCCACTCTCCTCTGTCGACTGTTCATGTTTTGTCCTCTTCCAGTGTTAACCATGCTGTTAATATAGAAAGACAGACATCAGTACGAGTTTAAACGAACCGTAAAAGAATTCAACGAATCCTAAACATGAGCTCTATAAAAAAAACGCTACGTGGAAGTCTTAATACGAAACGTCCTAGAGACACTTGAACCTGGAGTGCTCTGATACCAACTGTGATACCCCTCGGATCCGAGACACGGGTTGATCAGGCCCATACCCAAACTCGAGGGAATATCAAACAATTAATATTTTAAAATGAACACAGATTACAAAATAGTTTAGAAGGTAAAATAATAAAGCTGAAACGAATACTAATATAAAATCCTCAACTGATAAAAATTTAAATAAATCCAACTTCTGAAACCTCCATGAATACAACTCGGGAATCCATCTCTAGTGGACCCCTATTAAAAATCCAAACTGAAAAGAAAACTACTAAAAGAACATCCATAGTAAACCATGGAGAGAAGTCCTACGTCGTCGGAAGAGTGAGTGATAATCTCAGCTCAGCACGATCAAGCCTACGACTGGAACGGTTAAACACCAAAAAAATAGAAGTGGGTCAGGCCCACAAACAAGTTCTATCCTACTACTATCCAAGCAGAGACTCGATACGCATATACATTCTAACCAACTCAACAATAGCTAATAGTCCATACATATGTATAATCACACTACAGGACTCTCACTGGACTATGGAGAGGGTCTCAACCTGAATAGAAGGTAACATGCGAAAACGCACCCATAGGTGGGCATGAGTACCTAGACCTAACAGGGTACACCTCAACCTCCCATATCCAGCTACGCATCCTACTGCATGTACGCTCCCTAACCGACGACTCTGAGACTCAAGCTCATATCGCGATACCATAAAAATATATTTAAAGTCCGATCCTAACTATCCATCAAGAATCTAGTTAGTCATTCAGCTTGTGCAGCTTCTTTGACTTAACTTAAATAACAAGTAATCCAGTTAGTCATTCAGCTTGTGCAGCTTCTTTAACTTGAGCATAAGTAGGATTTATTTTGAAATCCATTCCTTTATTCCATGTAGGTAGGATGTAGTATTTTTAAACTAATCCGTCCCTAGTATGTCACCGTCCCATACCGGTGCATATAATCCATCCATCCAGTAGTTGGCAATACAAGTATATATGTAAATACCAACTAATCCATAAATTCCACAATTGATAATAATATATTACATATAGGCATCAATTGTTCCACAATAACTGGCAAAATTTAAATAACTGTTTACATTAATTAATTCCATACAAGGCATAATAGAACTTTGTAAACTAAAATGCTTGTCTTATACCACCGTTGCATGATTCTCTCATAATTTATTGCACAGAGAATAAGTATAGACATCCTTTAATCCGTGCTAATCATAATCAAAATATATATTTGGACATGCTTAGTTTATACCGCTACATAATTATCCAAGAATTGATATTATATTTAACACATGTATAAATCAATTTATCCTCTATAAGCATATAATAATTCAGTAATCTGACATGCTTATATTTCACCACTGGAACATGATTTAAATCTATAAAATCATTCTCGACAAAATTGCTAAAACCATGTTGAACAATTTTGTACCTTCACATTTAAACAGTATACTAACTTGTGCAAGAATTCTATAATGTTCAAACTATAATACAAGGTGATTAATTATGCATTAACAAGGCTCTTGGGAGATTTAATTTGCTCTTAGACACCTATGAAAACCTCCATTAAGGCTTTGAATTAAACTGGAACCTTCAAAATCCAAGTACCTATGCAAAACTCTCGCTGAAACTTAAAAAAATGGAAAAACCACATTGGAGCCGGCTCCAAAAATAAGTGGAGCCGCCTCCACCCTATTGGAGCTGCCTCCAATAACATATGGAGCCGGCTCCACTTCAATGGAGCCGCCTCCATTGAAGGGTGGAGCCGCCTCCACTCCTCCCAGCCTCCGTCTTCTCCGACGCCGGTTATTTTCTGACATTTTGATCGTCTGCCCTCCATTCTTAAAGCTCCTAGGTGTCTAATACTAGGTCTAGTGTGTTCCAAAATTAGTTAAACTCTTAATTCATCAACCAACATCAATTAGACTACAACTTATGCAAGAAGGACCTAAACCGGAACAACTACTCACTCATGATCATACTGTTTCAAGTGATCACCCATGCGAACCAGATTAAGTTTAATATTTTCCCAAGGTGTTCCAGTATTGATTAAATCCTTAATTATTTAATTAAAATCAATTAAAACATAGAGTAAAACATGGGTTTCACAAGAAAGAGTTCAAAGTAAACAATAACCAACTTATAAACACATTTAGGTTTAGCTATTTCAGACATGCAAACCCAGTTTAATTTTAAACCTTTATATATCCCTGGAATTGTATTAGAGATGCAAAGAACACGAGCCTAAGGAATAGAGTTAGGATTAGAACTTGCCTTTGAGATTTCGGTTAAAAATCCCAACATCGTCTTCGTAAATTTCTCCGGCAAATGACCGTAATCCTCCTATGTTCCTTCTCTGCCTCCACTGTCGTGAAAGGGTTTTCTAAAAACCCTAGGCAGAACTTAATACGTATATTTATAAGTTTATATAAAACCTAAATTCAATCCAAACCCTACAATGAATCTAGCCGGCCCATAGAAAATCCTAATTAAATCTATGTCGGCAACCAAGACTTGACTTCTAAAACAAAACCCTAAAGTAAACGTTAACTAAACCCTAATGTAAATCAATTAAGCATTTAAAAGAATTAAAATACAAAAATACAATTAACTAATCAATTAAATAAATTAAAACACCATAATTCAAACAAGTTACAATTAAGTCAAATATCAAGCAAATAAACAAATAATTTCAAATATTCAAAAACACAAGCAATTAAACATTTTAAATTCTCAAAAATGCAATTAAATAATTAACCAAAATACCAGGACTATCCTTTTTAAAATTAGGGGTATTACAATCACTGACGCACTGGCCTAAAAACCAAGGTCGTTACACTTCCGATACCTATTCGAGAACTTTGGAGATCACTTGCCGTATTGCCTATTGATTTTTTTAGGTGGCAAAGTGATCCTCCAGAGCATGTCTTCCTCGGCAAAATACTTAAACCTCGCCCTTTTATTATACGCCTTCATAACTTTCCTCTTAAAAGCCATAAGATGATCCAAAGTAAGCTTCTGGATTTCATTTAAGTCCTCTAGCTTGGCTAGCATTGCTTCATTATAATTGGCAAGAATCTGGTTATGCTGCAAAGCAACCTTTGTCGATTTTACATTCAGCTCCATCGTCAGAACTACATCATACCCAAAAGTCAAGTGAAATGGAGTTGTTCCCGTGCTTGTTCTTTTTGAGTTTTGATAGGCCCATAAGGCCTCTGGTAGTGTCTCATGCCACCTTCTTGGCTTGTCTTTTATCATTTTCTTAATGATTTCAATCACCACTTTATTTGAAGCTTCCACTTGACCATTTCCTTGGGCATAATAGGGAATGGAAGTGAGCATCTTCACTTGCATATCCCTGGCGAGATGCAACACATCATGGCCTCTAAAGCCTAAGCCATTATAGGAAACAATAGTCTCAGACTAACCAAATTGGTGGAAAATATGCCTCTCCAGAAATTCAAAACTAGTACTTTGAGTTACTAAGACGTATTCCTCAGCCTTCACCCATTTTGTAACGTAATCTGTAGCTAAGATAATCCAATGATGTCCTTTAGAGGAAGGGGGATTAATCTTACTGATTAAATCCATAGCCCAACCTCTGAATGGCCAAGGCTTCACGAATAACTGTATCTCAATTGTTGGAACCCATTGTAGTGGGCCATGTTTTTGACAATCGGCACACCCTTTTGTATAAGTCATTCAATCTTTCCTTATCACAGGCCAATAGTAACTATATCAGTGGATTAACCACCTCATTTTGATCCCTGATTGATGTGCTCCACGCATCCCTTCATGCATCTCGGCCATGATTTTCAGTTCTTCGAACTTGCTGATGCATTGAAATAAAAAGCCTTCATCTGCCGAACTTTTGTACAAATTACCATCCATGAGCATAAAGTCGACTGCCTTTATTTTAAGATTTCGATCCACCGATCTACTTGGATTCTGTAGGAAAATAATATAAGGAATCTGCCAATCATCTTTGGCCAACTCTGCAACATCTGTAATCAAAACCTCTGCAATATTTTGACTTATTTCCCCAGCTGACGGAAGTGACTGCCGAGTAACATTGACTATTCTTTCCTTCAACCCCTCTAGTACTCTTATCCAGGATGTTGTCTGAGCTAAATCATTTCATCTTATTCATTGTTGTTGGCCGATATTCCAAAGTGACAGTATTAAATTGGCTAACCAACTGAGTCGCCATAGAATGAAATGGTCTTAACTGCCAATTTAGACATCTGAAAACTTCTGAGACTTGGTTAATTACCAAGCTAGAATCCTCAATGACATGCAGATCTCTACATTTTTAGCATGATTTCTAAGCCGAAAATAAGTGCTTCATATTAGTCCTGATAATTTGAGCATTTGAAGTTAAGAAAAAAATGAGAAGGAGATTTAAGTTCCAGTAGGTGATATAATTGTTATTCCAGCCCGGAGTGATGCGTGTCAATTATAGACCACTAACTGAAGCACAAGTTCATGTAGAAAATGGATAACCAAAGGTATTAATCTACGAAGATTGCTAGCTTATGGTAATCAAATTTCAAAGATTAATTTATGGTTTGTAAAATGTCACGATTTGGTTTGAAGAATGGTTTGTTTGTTGTCACTTAGCATAAAGTTAAACCAGAATTTAACGAATTCAAAGATTGAATTTAACAAATAGAAGAGGCTAAAGAATCGAGTTCACTGAGACCTCATAAACATGCTACAATGTACTTAACTTGGGAAAAAAAAAATGTAACAATAATGTGTAGAAGCATACAACAACTACAACAATATTCCATAAAATCATACAAATCAAGGCTAAGTGTGATACCCCTCGGATCCGAGACATGGGTTGATCAGGCCCAGGCCCAAACCCGAGGGAATATCAAACAATTAAAGTATTTTAAAACGAACACAGATGACAAAAAGAAACAATAAAGGTAGAATAAAGCTGAAAGAAATAATAATAATAATAAAACCCTCCATGTGTAACTAAAAATTGAAACTCCAATCCTCCAAAACTTCAAGGTTACAACTTGGGAATCCACTAATGAACCCCTAACCAAAAGTTCAACTGAAACTGAAAACTGAAAATAGATAATGCTAGAAACATCGAGAGAAGTCTTACGTAATCAGATGAAGGTGAGACTGTCCTCGACAAGGACGATCAAGCTCTAAGGCTGGAACCATCCTGTACCTGAAAAGAATCATGAAGGAGTGGGTCAGACCCATGAGCAAGTTCTAATCTAACTGCAATCCATACAATGACCCAATACGCAGATACACCGTATACACCTCACAATATCTATCTAGTCCATACGTATAAATATATCCACACTAAGGGACATTCACTAGTCTATAATAGGGGTCTCAACCTGAATAAAAGGCAACATGCGAATACGCACCCAAAGGTGGCATGAGTACTTAGACCTAACAGGGTACACCTCAACCTATTATAACCAGCTACGCATCCACCACATTTACGCACCCTAACCAACGAGTCTGAGACTCAAGCTCAGCTCGTGGTACCATAAACATATATATAAAATCCATCCAAATCCAGGGTATGTAGTTTAAATATTTAGTAAACTGACATACAACCAACCAACTGGTTAGTCACTCAACTTATTCAGTTGATATGACTTAACCTCCGTCCATTAATCTAGGAAGTCACTCAACTTAGTTGCAGTTGACATGTCTTAACCAAAATTAGGATTCAATATTTATAAATCCATTCCTTAAATCCGTTAGATTAGGTTTAGGTGTTTGGAGCTAAACCGTCACCAGTATGTCATCGTCCCATACCGGTGCATACAATCCTCCATATCCAGATAAATTACAATGTATACATAATGAACAAGTAATTTACAGTTCAAAACCACCATCCAAATAATTGCAGAAAAGTATTTAAGATTTCAGCAATTTAAATCCCAGAATTAAACCATGTAGTTACAGGAAACAGTTCAATAGTTTACACAACTACCATCCAAAGCATGCATAGACCCAATCCAATATATCAAAGACTCTATAATGCATTTAGAACAAATTCTATACTCCTATTATAGTCCAACAAATTGCTAAATTAACCTAAACAATTTATTTCGTCCCATCCGATAATAGTGTACTAAGTCATACGCTTTTATATTGTTTAATCTTTTATCTTAGAGACTTAAACCATGCATCAACTAGTTTAATCACACTTAAAATCAAGTAATTAAATCCTCTGTAAAGTCCCCACAATCCATTAGAAACATCCAAAAGCTCAAACAGTGTTCAGAATACCAAACAGTACCTTAAAAACTAAAAAAAATAAAATAAAATCGTATATTGGAGAGGGAGCCTGCTCCAAATTTTTGGAGCAGGCACTTTCAGCCTAGAGCCATCTCTAGGAGTCCTTAGAGCCAGCTCTACTTGTTGTGGGAGCCGGCTCCCACATCCATGGAGCCGGCTCTCACCTCCTTTGAGAGCCTCTATCCCCGCTGCTTCGTTTCAATCCGTCTGCTACCTCTCTGATCAATTCCTACCACTCTGTTGGTTTCTAAAACTAATCTTAGGAGTCTTAATTTAGTCTAGAACCATCCCCCAAGGTTGTTTACAATAATTTTGATAACAATTACAGAGTTTAATCAGGCCACTTAAACTAGCATGCTTGGGAAACAATACTGGAACAGGTTTCAGAAACTTTCAGTTCTCTTCCGAACCCTCAGTTCCTCTTCACCACTGAACCTACGGATCTTATATCAGTCCCAATAACATCCCCATGGTTCATTTACAAAGACTAAAAAAAATAATCCAAAGACTAGAGTTACAACAGAGCAACATGCTTAAAGAACAGAAAACTGAAACGAGCCATGCATGAACTGTAACAAAACGGTTTTCAACATAAACAGATCGTTCATATGACATATATTAAACATATATCTTCCAGTTATTGATTGATTAAACCCTAGAGATTATCTAGGTGCACAGAACATGAGCTAAAGAAAAGGAGAAAGAAAAGAACTTGCCTTTGAGTTTCAGACTTGAAACTCTAAATTCCCAGTTTCTGTATTGCCCGTTCAATTCCCCACTGCTGTCCCACAAACCCGCGTTCCTTCTACCTTACTCCCACCTATCCTTCCTCTCCTATCTCTCTCTATTCTCCCTCTGTATCCCACGGTCTCTGTTTTTTTTTACAGAAATTACGTTTAATTATTCTAAAACCCTAAACCACCGTGACACACATACTTATAGGCTTAGTGATTAAACCCTAATCCATGTATAACTCGGCCCATAAAATCCTAGATTATACTCACTGTCTACTCATAAAGTTATCTAGGTTATAAGATACTCGGCTACATACGCGTAACTTCTTAGGGAACCCTACTGTTTAAAATTAGACCAGTTATTAATTTATTTTACTACAGTAACTGATACTAATTTAGTCTGTAATTTAATCTAATTAAAATATTTAAATAAACCAATTACACATTAGAAAGACCAAACCAATCCATTTACAGAAAACAAGAAATAATTAACAAAAATAAAATTCATAATTAAACAATAAATACCAATTAAACAATTAAAACACTTAAATAATAAATGCCAATTAAATACATGTCACATAGGTAAACAATTAAATAAAATTAATAAATAAAAATAATTAAACCAAATAATCACACAAAAATACAATAAAAAAAAAAAATAAATGCCGAGACTATCCTTTTAAAATTAGGGGTATTACATTCTTCCCCCCTAACAAAAGGAATTCCGTCCTCGGAATTCGCTCTTACCTTCTTCCAATATTTTAGGAAACTGCGAGCGAATGATATCCTCCCGTTCCCAAGTGGACTCAGCCTCATTGTGATGACTCCACTGCACACGAACCAAAGGGATAACCTTATTGCGAAGGATTTGATCCCGACGGTCAACAATACGACATGGTGGCTCCAAATAAGTTGCATCCGGCTGCAACTCAATCTCCCCAACATCTATATGCTGATACCGATCCTCATCGCGCAGAAATTTCTGTAACATGGACACATGGAATACGGTCCAAATTATCCAGCAGTGCCAACCGATATGCAACAGCGCCAACTCGATCCGTAATCATGAATGGACCGACAAACCGCGGAGACAATTTCCCTTTCTTCCCAAAGCGCATAACACCCTTCATAGGAGACACTTTGAGTAGAACCTGATCCCCAACCTGAAACTCCAATGCCCGAGTACGACAATCAGCATAGCTCTTCTGCCTACTTTGGGCAGTACACATGCGATCTCGAATAAGAGCTATCTTCTCAGAAGTATCCTTAATGAATTCAGGACCCAAGAATCGGCTCTCGCCAATTTCCATCCAACAAACGGGCGATCGACACGGTCGGCCGTATAACGCCTCAAAAGGTGCCATCCCAATAGTCTTCTGGAAACTATTGTTATAAGCAAACTCCATTAGTGGCAAATAATCCTCCCAGTGTCCCTTGAAGTCAAGAGCACACGACCGTAGCATGTTTTCCATGATCTGATTAACCCTCTCAGTCTGTCTATCAGTCTGAGGATGATAGGCAGTGCTAAGGTGCAATTTCGTACCCAAAGCCTGCTGAAAACTCTTCCAAAAG